TATTCGCCGCAAGTAACGCATACACTGAACAAATAGCTCACAAATGTATCTTCGCGATCTGAATAATCGTAAACTAAGAAATTAGTGACCCGATGCAGTAAATTCTCCCTGATCGAGTCCCTAATTGTGCCCAAGAATGGACAATTTGATCGTCGAATCAGGGAGAACATTTCGACAGAATCCGTTATACCTAATGTAAGAAACGTGTACGAACATACATGATTCCGTCGCTGTATATAATTTTGCATTCATTGTACGAGCCAGCTTGAGCCCCAATTTTGGATATCACGTTCTCTAATGAATATTCTTTACCACTTTCGACGAACCGGCGGGGGAAAAACTCCCGGGCCGAGAAAAACGGAATAATCAACTTCGAAAGTTTTACGGTCCCGGGGATATTGTTCTATAACACTTTCAACTTTGCGCACTACGGGGGAACGTTCCGGGAATCCTGAGAGAAAGGTTCGCAGTTCCAAGGAAATCGAGTGCCGAATAACTGCAGATGCCGATATAGTGTTCGAAAGGGGTTTATTTTATTGCAGGAGATTTCGGGAACGGGGTCAGGAATTTAAGGTCATGTAACGCGACCGTTCCCACGGGAAGTGAAATACAACGGAACGCCGTAAAACCGTGGAGCAGAATAGCGGCGACAGTAATCCGGAAATAAGCGTCGATGGGATCCATGACAGAAAGAAAAAAAAAAAGAAAAAGAAGAAAAGGAAAAGAATTGCATTCGCTCGCGAGTCGTTGGCTTTGCTGTAACTTATTAAGTTTGATAACCGTGTTTCCAAGATAGATCGGAGAGCGACCCGGCGCGCGTTTCATCAAAATTTCTTTCCCGGAAACCCTTTGCTTCATTAATATTCATTCTTCATCTGCAGCGCGGCGAAAAGAGACTAAAACCATGTTTTCAATTTAAATTCTGCTACCGGTTTTCTCCGACAACGCAGCGGATTACTTTCGTTTAACGAACCGGCCCGTGAAAGTTGAGCATCCCAGAAAAATGCAACGGCGGCGGCGGCGACGGCTTGCAGTTCGCCGGCGTACAATTAAAAACGGCGATCGCGGTGTCGGCGGGCGGAGGATAAACAATTGGAGAAAACGCGGGATTAAGTCGCGATCCCCGACCTTTCTTTTCAATTTCGCCGGCAGTCGGCGGAACCCGCGTAGCCGCCATAAAATCGCCTTTAAGACCGGAAGCGGAGGAACTAAACCGAGCGTCGTTACAACTTCCCTGCCTTTAGAGCCTTCGGAGCAAGAATTTTTGATACTTAAAAGGGCTCGGCCAAGTTTATGCTAATGCAGCGACGCGAACATAACGCCGCAACGCCGCGAGCGCCGGTGCATGTTGCAGAAAGTCCGACTTGCGAGTAAACGGCGGCGCGAGAAGGAGAGGTGGAGGGGGAGGGGTGGAGGGCATCCAGAGTCGCTATAGCGAAGGGAATAACTATAGCGAAGGGCGGAAACGAGAGCCTGAGATGAAACGAATCTGTAACAGAGACGTTTACGGGCGTCGCGTGGAAAAGCAAACCGCGGGCCACCGGGGAAAACTATTATGAAAACGGGTCGGGCCGGGTCGGGCCGGGAAAAAAGCGAAACGATTACGGGGAGAATGAGGCGTCGCGACGCTTCGCGAAACGCGAGCGAAATGAGCCGGACGGCGAAGACGACCGGGGGTGTCCGCGAGAGAAAAACGTCTCGCCCGTGAAATACTGCGAGCTGCCCGCTTCTCGGGATAAGAAGGAAGACGAGGAGGAAGAGAGAAAGACACCGACGTCGAGAGAAAGCCCGGATAAAGCGAACTGACGGAAGAGGATGAAAGCTCCAGAGAACACGAGATACCTGTAAGCCGGACACGTGCGTCTCACCGAGAACTTTGTGTCAATCGGTCGGTCTGATTTTTGAATTCGCTGGCAAGCAAGTTCTCGCTTCAAACTGATGATGGGATTTGTAGCTTATACGGGGGGGATTGGTCGATGGGGTAAACGCATTTGTTACCGATCGTATACAGGGAAATCTCTTTAGGAGACGATGAGGAGGCGACGATCCATCCGGGCTCACCTTGAAACGGCTGGTATCTCTCCATCAGGGCCGGGGATAAATAGATTTTTGGAATGGTAAACAGACTATAAATATTTTTATCTTCTCGTGTAATACAGAATTTAATTAAACCTTTTCTTTAAACCTTTATTTAAATCATTTCTGAAGTAGTAGTTACATATCGATATTAGTTAAATATATTTGAAATGTTACTTCCATATGTAACTACTACTTTCAAAAAATGTTCATTTGCCAAATTCTGTATCACATGAGAAGATATAAATACTTATAGTTTATTTACTATTTCAAAAATCTATTTTCCTTCAACCCTGGTCTCTACTTTAATCTCCTCGAGTTGTTTTCTGAGAATGATTTTTATCTATGGTAAAGTAGACTTTACCCTTTAAAATGAATCCTGGTAGATTGTTGTCTCATACTTTTTCATGAATATACAATCAAATAAATATTAATTCTCCATTAATTTTTTACTCAGAAAGATATATCGAATCTAGGTTTGATATTGTTGAAATTTTAGCCTCGAACAAAAATTAATCTATAGTTTACTTAGTAAGATATCTTCAGTTAAGATATCGGTTTACATTTCGCCGGCTCCGTCAGCGGGCAGCGACGGTGACGGAATCTGTATATATTAGATGCCGCGATACATCATCGCCGGTACCTTTTGATGTACTTCGTGCCCTGACCGTCACGTATACAATGTAAGACGCGACAAATAAAACGTCTCTGATTGGTGGACACGACGAACCCAAAAAGGGTATAAAAGAAGCGTTTCTTCTTACCGGACACGTAGTAGAGTTTGATCGCTCGATCGGTTTCGCTCATATACCTTCTCTCAATTAAGAGAATAAAATAAAGTCCTTTTAAGCAAAGTATTAGAATCATATTCATTTTCATTCCATAATCCCAACAGATATTACAAGAGGAATACTTATTTGAACTATTTAATATTTAAAGAACTTCANAAGCGAAACGATTACGGGGAGAATGAGGCGTCGCGACGCTTCGCGAAACGCGAGCGAAATGAGCCGGACGGCGAAGACGACCGGGGGTGTCCGCGAGAGAAAAACGTCTCGCCCGTGAAATACTGCGAGCTGCCCGCTTCTCGGGATAAGAAGGAAGACGAGGAGGAAGAGAGAAAGACACCGACGTCGAGAGAAAGCCCGGATAAAGCGAACTGACGGAAGAGGATGAAAGCTCCAGAGAACACGAGATACCTGTAAGCCGGACACGTGCGTCTCACCGAGAACTTTGTGTCAATCGGTCGGTCTGATTTTTGAATTCGCTGGCAAGCAAGTTCTCGCTTCAAACTGATGATGGGATTTGTAGCTTATACGGGGGGGATTGGTCGATGGGGTAAACGCATTTGTTACCGATCGTATACAGGGAAATCTCTTTAGGAGACGATGAGGAGGCGACGATCCATCCGGGCTCACCTTGAAACGGCTGGTATCTCTCCATCAGGGCCGGGGATAAATAGATTTTTGGAATGGTAAACAGACTATAAATATTTTTATCTTCTCGTGTAATACAGAATTTAATTAAACCTTTTCTTTAAACCTTTATTTAAATCATTTCTGAAGTAGTAGTTACATATCGATATTAGTTAAATATATTTGAAATGTTACTTCCATATGTAACTACTACTTTCAAAAAATGTTCATTTGCCAAATTCTGTATCACATGAGAAGATATAAATACTTATAGTTTATTTACTATTTCAAAAATCTATTTTCCTTCAACCCTGGTCTCTACTTTAATCTCCTCGAGTTGTTTTCTGAGAATGATTTTTATCTATGGTAAAGTAGACTTTACCCTTTAAAATGAATCCTGGTAGATTGTTGTCTCATACTTTTTCATGAATATACAATCAAATAAATATTAATTCTCCATTAATTTTTTACTCAGAAAGATATATCGAATCTAGGTTTGATATTGTTGAAATTTTAGCCTCGAACAAAAATTAATCTATAGTTTACTTAGTAAGATATCTTCAGTTAAGATATCGGTTTACATTTCGCCGGCTCCGTCAGCGGGCAGCGACGGTGACGGAATCTGTATATATTAGATGCCGCGATACATCATCGCCGGTACCTTTTGATGTACTTCGTGCCCTGACCGTCACGTATACAATGTAAGACGCGACAAATAAAACGTCTCTGATTGGTGGACACGACGAACCCAAAAAGGGTATAAAAGAAGCGTTTCTTCTTACCGGACACGTAGTAGAGTTTGATCGCTCGATCGGTTTCGCTCATATACCTTCTCTCAATTAAGAGAATAAAATAAAGTCCTTTTAAGCAAAGTATTAGAATCATATTCATTTTCATTCCATAATCCCAACAGATATTACAAGAGGAATACTTATTTGAACTATTTAATATTTAAAGAACTTCAATCGATCAGGTCTTTAAATATCTGCACAATACAATATAACTGTGCTACTTGAACTATCTATCTTTAGTTTATCAATTGTGCTATTTGAACTACGTATCTTTAGTTTATTAATCGTGCTACTTGAACTATATGCCTTTAATTTATTAACTGTGCTACTTGAACTATATACCTTTAATTTATTAACCGTGCTACTTGAACTATGTACCTTCAGTTTTAGCTACGATACTTGAACTATGTATCTTCAATTTGTTAACTGTGCTACACGAACTGCGTATCTTGAATTAATTAGGCTCTTCTGAGCCTACATGCACATCTGTGCATCGTCAATCCTGTCGTAGCCATTTTAGTCGCGCCAAGATCTGAGTTACCAAACGCAACTCCAAAATCATCAGATTTATATATTATTTTTATTATATTTTATATTTTATTTATATATTATTTTATTATTTATATATTTATAATATTAACACAGGCAAATATAGTCAAAAAAGATCAAACCGTGAATGAAGGATTTAAAAGGATCTAGTACAAATTGTTTGACGCACCTTTCCCGCAAAGAACACGTCCATCTCCATAAACATCAAAGCCTTCACATTCGTAGGAAACGCAGACTGAATGCCTCTGTATAGAACTGTTGCCTCTCAAAACACACTCTCGCACACTTTATCAACGCAAAATCTAAAGAAACGTAAAAACTTTTGAACCGTTCACCCGGCTGGCATCGCTTTCCAACGTGCGGCTAACTTCACATATTCGTTCCAGACGAAGTTCAAGACGATCCGGAGTCAACTGCTGCTCCCACGTGCAGAAACGAGAAGCTCGGAGAGAGAAGGAACGATCCGGAGCCGAACGTGGGCGACAAAGACCGAACGGCGGTGCTGTGGTGGGGATGAGCGCAGTGTGCGGCAGGGGACTCGTGGCAACACGCTTGCCGCAGCATCCGTGTGAAGTCAGTCGGCTGTCGGATCTCGTGCCGTGCGGTTCTGGGATCGGTTTCTCATTGTTTTTCCTCGGTACGACGGACCGCGTGCTCCTTTGTCGGTGTTTTATTGTGCAGCCAGTGAAGTTCATTGTTGCCGGTATTAATTGATAACTACACCTCGAAATACCACCGTCAGTGGACTACGGACCGGTGGATCGGCGGACGCTTAGGTGAGCCAGCATCTCGGTTTTCACGTGGTTCCTTGTACCGCGAAATCTATCCTTGATATTCCATTTCCGCTGAGTATGAATTCCGAATTGCCGGTCCCGCGTAAGCGCGCTTGATAACAATTCGAAAGCGAGCGTTACCGAATCCGATTCCCAGGAACGAGAGATAAACAGGGTCAAGTGTCGCGAGCTCTTTTCGCAGACGACGCACTTTGCTTCTTATCGAAGCGTTAATTGATGTCGAATGTTCTCCACGGTGTTCCAAGGGCCGCTCTGTTTACGACCCGTGCCGATAAGGGTCGTTGACACGGGCATGTCTCTACGTGGAAAGAAATTCAGGGCTCGGCCGGTCCGTGCCGGTCTGTGACTTAATAAATGCCGGTGACAGCTGCCGTTGCAATTGCGTTGTGTCACTGGCTAGCGCCGGTCGAGGAACACGTCCCACGTATTTCAACGAACGTCCCCGGGCTTCCATGCCGGTGATATAACGTGAAGCGTTCAACAGGGGGGCAGAGTAACACGCGGTTGCACTCTGCCGTATACTTGCACCGCGCGTTTTTATGCACTCTCCGTGACGCGTCTTAAAATATGGAGCTATCGCGAATGTTGGGCGCGATGCACATCCGGATGATGTATTTTCGATGCGCCCAGGCTCGGCTTCTGTCGAGCCCTTACCGTAAACACGTTTCGCCCCGGAAATTTTGTCACGCCGCGTATTACCCTGAAAGTCACACGTGCTTCGACTGACAATCCGATGGAACATTTTTTTTTTTCTACGAAATTCCGACGCATTTTTTTCTATCTTTCGAATGTTCGCGCACTTCGCGCCCTTCCCGCGTACTTGGGCTTTTCGGGCTGTTGGCAGCACTTGTGCTTCGATTATTCAAAATTTCACGTTCTCTCGTGTCGTTTGAATGATTTATTGCCGAAATACTGCTGTCCGAGCAATTGTTTCTTTTTTCGAGCAATTGATTTTTTTTTGGAACAGTTGATTTTTCTTTAAAGCTACTCATTCTGTTTTGGAGCAATTGATTCTTTTTTGGAGCAGTTGATTTTTCTTTAAAGCAATTTATTCTGTTTTGGAGCAATTGATTCTTTTTTGGAGCAATTCATTCTTTTTTGGAGCAGTTGATTTTTCTTTAAAGCAACTCATTCTGTTTTGGAACAATTGATTCTTTTTTCGAGCAATTCATTCTTTTTTGGGGCAATTGATTTTTCTTTAAAGCAACTCATTCTTTTTTGGAGCAATTGATTCTTTTTTCAAGCAATTGATTCTTTTTTGGAGCAACTCATTCTTTTTTGGAGCAATTGATTCTTTTTTGGAGCAGTTGATTTTTCTTTAAAGCAACTCATTCTATTTTGGAGCAATTGATTCTATTTTCGAGCAATTCATTCTTTTTTGGAGCAATTGAGTCTTTTTTTCAAGCAACAGATCTTTTTTCGAACAATCGAGTTCTCTTTAAGCGCACAATTTTTCTTGAAACGCTTGTCTTCTCTTTAAGCATACAATTTTTCTTTAACCCTCCGCTGTCACACTTTCTATGCGAGACGCTTATGTCATACTGGCTCACTCGGACAAACTTTAGTTTTCAAACTACTGTCACTCAAATACTGGCAATACTAATTAGGCCCGAAAATTTGAGAATACAATTTGAACATCCTAGGACATCATTTCGTTTATTAGAACTCGATATCTCGCTACCAAGTGTATTGAATTAAAGTATTCGTTTCATTCTTTTATCACTTTTCCGGTAATAAATTTGTTGAATATTTTAACCCAGTGCGACAGTTTCTTCAAGTATACAACTTTCTCAACTATTCCAAATTTTGTCAAACTTTTTAAAGGATTTATAATTTCGGGTATTTAGTGTTCAAGCACTCCAAGTGTTCCAAAACCAATTTTTCTAATTTTTCACGATATCCTCAATCCTTCAGGCATGCAGTTATTCGATTATTTACCTTCATATCACTTCGACTGTCATCTTGGCAGCAACAAAGATTTCAGAAAATGAAAAAAGATGTGCTTCATAACACGTTGAATACTGACGATTTATACTGACTCGTATAAAATAAATAAAATTGTTTAACTGTTGCATATACAATAATTAATAATTCGATCAGATGTATCAAATGGCCTAAGTGAAAAATGGAGCACAAGCGTCTCGGCACGGAACGTGTTAGTTTATTCAGTGAGTCAAACATTGAACATTTAAGATGCGCGATACTGAACAGCTGTTCAACCACCTCGCATTATGTAAACCTTAATCAAATGTAGCAGACAAATTGATTTTTAAATCCGTGCGATCGTTGATTATTATGCATTAGATGCACAAAATCATTAATTCGCGCCCGATTTCATCAGTTAATTTTTCGACGGTTCTCCTATCCTCCTAATTCAGTTTCTGGCCGCTTCCCCGCGATTTTTCTTCCCGATAATTATTCAGTTGGCCCATTGTCAATATTTCAATTCACCGAATGGATCGGAGGCTCCCCGGTACCATTTTTGATCCCCGCGAATTCCCGGTCCCGCGCTATTCTTCTTCGATTGTTCATCAGCCCTCGCGCCGAGTCGGCCAAGTTTTTGAGTTATCTCGGAAGGTCATTACGTTTCCCGATTCCCGGCGAAACTCCTTGAAGTTCTTCACGCGAGAAATTTATGTCCGGCCGGCCTGCAGATAATTAGATTCTTATATCATGAGAAGTTTTGAGTAAGCGTCATCCTATTAAGGCCGGGGGAACGTTTCTCGGCACGGTGTCGTTGACTCCCACGAACCCGATTGAAGAACCCGCTTTTACTCCGAAACTTCATGCCGCCGACGCCGACGCTGCCTTTCCCTCCCGCGCCTTCGTCTTCTTTTTATATGCCGTCTGCCCGGACCCCGACCCGATGATAACGTCTCCCGCTTGCTTTCTTTCAAAACAGTGTCTGGACCTGCCACCGAGAGCTCCGCGACCGAACCAACCAACTCTCCGGGCTCTCCTTTTTCTTCTTGCCGCGTTCCGCGAATATTAGCATCGCCTTTGCACGCCGATAAAAAAGATCTCATTGTCCCGCGGTCGACCGTTTCCACGGAAATTACATCTCCGCGCGTAAACCCCGCTACGGGAATTCGCGATTCTTCGTTCATCTCGGAAAGCTAACATTTGTTAGATCTAGAAAAGTAATCTGTACGACGAGGTTAAGTGTTTGCCGCGTAACAATGCGCCGACAAAGACTTTAAACAGAATCCGCAACGCAGAAATTACGTTTTTCCTGTTTACGGTGTTTGAGTTTCGCGGTGTTATTCTGTTATTTTCAGGACAATTCTTCTCACACTTTATGATTTCTATTTAATGCGAAGTACCATCCGTTATTATCAATGAAAGAACATGCAACGTAAAGACGCGACGATACTTGTTACAAAAAGGATCGACATTATTCATTACGCTGCGCTTTGAATTTCGTATATTCGCTTAATTTATCTCGCTCGTATCATCGCTTTCAATGATGGTATGCCGACGGATTAATTGTTATCTACGATTGCCAAATAAGCTCTGCAGATCGTACAGTTAAGATCTTGTGCGGTGCATCTCGGCGAGAAAGTATGCGGTTCGTTCGAGACGAATTGGGCCGTCGATTGAATGTATCATGTTGTTTAATAACTGACAGATTAACGGGCAAATCTGAACGCAGTCGCGATAACGGCGAGCGTATCGGTGAACCGGCTCATTCCGAGAAGTCATAGATCAATTGGGTCCGGGTGGAACAGCGGCCCGAAAGATGGAGCGTTCCAGCGCTTAAAGGGGAACTGATAGGGCGCTGCGGTTTTGAGAATAGCTCATAAGTGTGTCACAGTGTTTGCGTCACTTAGACGGGCTGTGCTCAATGAACTCGTCGTATGCAACGCTATCGCCGATGATTCAGCGATCGTCCATTTGCTTTATTGAGCTGTTCGTCATCCTTTCGTGCCGGGATCGCGCCGTGGTAACGGTGTCGTTACTCGAGAAATTTATGACTCGTAAATTTCATTAGACATCGCCCCGGAATCATCGCGCGGGGAACACCAATGAAACGCGAGAGCTCGCTTTTCACTGACATTTCCCGCCGGTCCGAGAGTGCACCGCACGATGGAATCGCGCGAAGTATCCATTAATGCGCCAAAACACGAGATAGTTGTGTGTCCTCAGGAGCTTCCCCCCCCCCCCCGTTCCACATCCATTTATTATTAGCCGCTCAATGATGCTCTTTTAATGGATCGGTCCTCCTACATTTCAATCGTACGACCAGTCTGCTGCTGCGACTCGATCCTCTGGCCATCGAGCTCCTCGATCGTGTGCCGCTTTCGACGCTTAATTGTTCCGACTTTTCGTTTTCTTCGTACTTTATCGTGCTTTCGGCCAGGGAATAGTCGCGTCTCTGAATTTTTCAGAGACCAAATTCCTCGGTTATTCGATTCGTCGAGCGTCAGTCCGGTTCTTCGAACGTTTCATTCTTCGTGCAATCGATCGCCCCGTTACTTAATCATTTCGATACTCAATGGCTTCGTTATTTAATTAGTTCGGTGTTAGTCGGTATCGTTACGCAATCATTTTAATACTCGCTAATTACATTATTTACATGGTTGTTTTGGTACACGATTGTTTCGTTGCTGAATAATTTTAGCACTGAAT